CTGAGGGTCCTACAGGGTCCTTCCTACTGCTTGGAATAGGGAACCTTTCGGGCGGAGCTTGCCTTGAGCACAGTCTGCATACATGTGTCTTTATTTGAAATGTTTTCACCTTATTTTATTAAGTCCTCTCTCTTTCTCTCTCGCTGCTCCTCCTGCGCTCTGTCCACTATCATCTATCCTGTCTTGTTTCTTTTAAATGCTCCAATCAGTGCGCTGTGATCTGTGGCTGCTGCAGCTGTTTCTCTGCCTTGTGTTTGTCAGATGCTGGCCACTCTACTCATCATACGCCAGTTCCTTCAAAACGTTAAGGAGGTGCTGCAGCCTTACTTGTATGAGCGTCACAAGCTGGGAGAGCTTACGCTGCGAGCCGTGTGGGACCTGCTGCTGTCAGTGCTGCTGAAATACGCCCGGCTGGCAGCTGGAAAAGCCATGGCATCTCCCACTGACCAGACCATGCCAGGACCCGGACTGAGGGGCACCAGGCCTGGAGTGGGGCAGCCAGAAAGAAGGTGGTGCTCTGAGCCGTTCAGTAAAGAAAGTGTGTGCTGAAAGATCCGTGTCGGTGCGGCGAACCGTGGCGTCCACATGTTTAGCTGTCATTCACACCAACACTTACTGCGTTAGTCACTACAAACAGAGCTGCTCGGGTGCAGACAGAACGACACTTTATCGTCCTCCGCTATTGTTCACGCACCGCATGCAGTTATGATTCATCGCTATCAGACACCGAGTGCACAGACCGCCAGAACAGGTTGGCGCACAGTTACTCTGACGTTTATCTGTCTCTTCACCTGCTCTCAGGGAAAAGAAGTGTCTGAACGGAGGATGTGGAGTGCCTGATGAGGAGGAGGGAGCTGAGAAGGACGAGGCTGACAGCGGGAGGTTCAGCGAAGGAGAGACGGAGGAGGAAAGTTTGATCGACTGCGGCTTGAAGCTGAGGAAAGTCAGCTTCATAGAGAAGGTACAGTGCCGTGTGACCTGCGTCAGCACATTCACGCTTTAGAGGTTGAATCATGTAACTGATCAGCGATGTTGTGGTTAAGGTGGACAGAAAGGCGGCGTGCAGTGGGCCCCCTGTGGACAGCAGCTTTCTGGAGGAGGGAAGCCCCACCATGGTGGAAAAGGGAATGGACCCGGCCTCGGTGTTCGAAATGTGCGACGACGACGACGACAACGACAACGGAATTCATGACGTGAAGGACTCGAGCGG